CCCCAAAACCCCAAAACCCCAAAACCCCAAAACCCCAAAACCCCAAAACCCCAATAATATAATTTTGGATTGAACGCTCCTGCAATGGTTGGTAAAGACTTTATTAAATATGAGTCGGATCAATCCCTTCTTTTGTCTTCGAAGTGACAAGAAGTTGCATTTTTATCCCCTTCTGTCTATCCAGCTTTTACATGCTATTTTGCGTGCTGAGCTTATAAAAATCGATATCTAGAGTATGATAACTTAATCAAAATATATTAGTGTTAAACCTAATTATTTTTCCTGCTGAACTTCTAAAATATAAGCTATTTCTAGCTCACAAATCAAGTCACTCATATTTAGTTGGCACAAGTAGGGAGCTTCAACTTTTCTGATTCGTATGATATTTCGTGATTTGTCTCCACTATATAATTCCAAAGCTGCATCTGAAATAATTATCCTGAAAATTATAGTCGGTATGTCACTTAAACAGGGTTTTGTTCAAATCTCATGGAAAGAACTTTAGAATGAGCTCTTATCTTTGGCCATATTTAGTTCAGCCTAAAGAATCAAAATCATGAAGGTAACAGCCAAAATTTGCTCATCAATAACGAGGTAGCAATTACCAGTTAAGTCAGAGTTCTTCTAACTGACTGGAGAATGACAGCAATATAGTTTGGAATCTGACATTTTGATGGGTAGTGAATGTTTGCCATTGCAAATATTTGATATCATAACTATACCTCTCAAAATTACAGGCTCTAAATCAACTCGCAAATTTCCAGTAAAAATTGGAATGAATTTCTGTTTAATCTGCCAACTCGTTCTCTATCACTTCAGGCTTCTGGAAGTCAGGAAACTAGCTAAGAGGGAGGTCTAAGTCACCTTAAGGAGCTTTGTCCTCGCCATTGAGACGACTCCTGCATGTATCGCAGAGTCTTCTAAAAGTGACTCTTAAGAATCTTTGCCTTGCGTGAGTCACGTTTGTACTTCTTAAAAGTGTTCATAAAAATCTTTTTATGATTTGATAGACACCTTTCTTTGATTCAATAGAAAGGATCAGAAATTATGGCTGAGCTTCACTGTGGGGCTTGAAAAACCTCTTCCTGAGAAGATATATAAATACTCTTAAGTTTCCCGTGTTGAGAATTTATGTTAAAAGAATCCTTCATCGAGTAATTTTAGCAGATTGAGAAAATGCAGCGAGGATTAGATTTTGCTTCCTATTTCTTACCAAGACATATCTATCTTAGCGTTTAAAATCTCCTTAAATGTTAGACTCCAATCAGAAGTCTAACATATAGACTTCACTAAGTTATGAAGGAAGTTTGGAAATCATCTTGTTCATTTCAAATAAAGTTCCCGGATTTACGAAAATTGAGAATTTTTAGTATCCCAATAGTTTTATGACATTTCAGGCTTGGGAGCGACTTCCCATGTTGCTGACCTTAAATATAGAAATAAATATCAATGGAGCAAAAGTTTTATCAAATAATTAGATTCCTCCTCGCTCGTCATAAAAGTCATCAGAACTTACTAGCAAGTATTTTGATGTTAATGGGTACATCACTAAAAATGTTCCACTGATTTCATACTGTGGTAATTATTTCAGAAAATAATGTTTGCTTCCCAGATTCCAGATGATTTCTGAACTAAACCTAAGAGAAATAGGCCGTATTAATGTGGGTATAACTAGAGATGAGGAGCCAGAAAAATTACTAATAGCTTATAACGAGCTCATGACTCAAAGTTCTCAAGTTTAAAAGTTATAAAACGTTTTTACTCTTTCACGATTCAAAAGTGTCAAAACCTATCTCAAATTTTTATGTACATTTTTGCCGAAAATCTTAAGAATCATGGAACTCACCGCTCAGATTTAACGAATTCTGATCATTATAAATTGCATTTAAAAGAGCTCTGCAGAGTTCTCTAGATTCCAGAACTCTCTGTCACAAAGAATAACAGAATTATCTTAATTTACCACTCAGGTTACTTCACCAGCTCCTCTTGACTCTTAAACCCGGATAAAATATGTGAAAAGAATAGAATGGAAGTCTAACTATATTTTCTGAATATTCCAAGTATGATAAGAAGGTATGATGTCATTAACGGGCGAAGAAGACTCTGAAACGAAGTTTTCGGAAGAGACTAGTACATGATCATAAAGATGGGAGTATTGCTGGCCTTTTCCCATTCATAAATAATTTCAAAGGTATCGACACCGGAATGTGGAAGCACATGGAAAGATATAAGAGAAATTTTTTAGCACGAAATATTGAGCAATTTATTCTGGAATCTCTTCGAGTCCTGGTGGGGCTGAGCGGGGGTTCTCCTCTTTGCTTTCTTTCTGACTTCTACTTTCACTCCCTTGTGCTTTCTCATGTGGACGTTGAGGTTGAACTTCTCAGTATACTTTCTGTCTCAGTGATCGCATTTGTAAATCTTCCTGCTTTCAATACTGAGGTTTGAATGAACCTTCATATGCTTGTTAAGGTTACCTTTCTGGGTAAATCTGAGGTTGCAAAGTGTGCAAGCGTAAGGTCTTTCTCCAGTATGACTTCTGGAATGATCGAGGAGATTCCAACTCTTAGTAAACTTCATCCCACATCCAGGGTAATTACAAATCAAGGATCTTCTGCTTCTGCCAGTCTTCTTATTGTAGCTGACCTCTGCTTCAAAAGATATACCGTTTGACTTGGTAAGATCCTCAATCTTGGATCCCTTTTGTAAGTCAGTTTGATACATCTCAGGATCTCTGCAATTCTATAGAGGAGGTTAAGCCACTAATTACGTAATTCATAACCCGGTCACATCTGGCCTTAGCCAAGAAGGATTATTTTGTTGAGAGGAAGCAAACTTACGCAGTAAACTGAAGGATCAGATGAATATGATAGGGTTGAAGGAGTTGGAAGAGTTATCATAGGCTGAGGAGCTGATATCTTGGTGATTTCTGGTACCTTACTCTCATCTTTACTTGGAAGAGGAAGCTGAAATAGTTTCTCATTGCTTTGGGCAGGGAAATATGAGAGCCAGTCAGATACTTGCTTCGTATCTTTAAGTTTCATGCTCATTGTCTAAGGTTTATGTCAGATTAGGGTATCTTTACACACAAAAAGCATAAAATTTCAGAAATATACATTTATTTGAGCAATGTTAATTTTATGGGTAAAAGATATCATATCTAATGGCTCAGGAGTGTGATCGTAACACAAAATTTGCTATCATCCCCAAAAAATGAACAAACTTAGAGGCTAACAAATAACAGAACAATTAAGAACAAGGATGCCTTGTTGTGGCTTCTATTGCTCATATCATTCTAAGATACTGGATGAGCTTAAGTCTCTTCCATGAAAGAGAGATATAAATCACTAAGCTCCTAGATTATCTGTGAACTTTGCTTACCTTCATATCTTCTTTATTGTCGATATGTGGGATGTTAAATGTTTGCATTTGAGTTTGTGACAAAAAGTTTTATGGAAATTTAATATTATAAATCACTTTGGTAATTTGGCCTTATAAGCCATTATCCACCTATTACTTGAACTTTCCGAAAAATTAGCCGCTCTTATTTTACACAAAAAATTGAACATTTTTACTGTTTTATCCAGATAAGTGTAAACCTATCCCAGAATAAAGAGATAATATTCTGGAGTAAGAGAAGCCATCAACGATGTCACCATAATTTGTTTCCTCTGGTTGTCAGGCAATGAGGGGAGCATCTCGGACTGCTCTTAGCTTTGCAAGCTCAAACTGAGTGGAATCAGTTAAATAACCATAGAGTCTCAAAAATATGAGTCAGTATATTAATGAAAGTTATCTTATGACCAAAAGATGATATGGAGACTAGACCCATTATTTACGATTGCGAAAGGATCCTAAAAATCTAATTATTGCAAACTGATCATAATTTAGAGCTTAAATAATTATATTCTCTTAATTTATGAGCTTAAGTTTGTCTAAAAATACTGGCTAAATGTCACATACCTTCATTATTAATAGCCGGTTATCTATTTCAAATTTAGCATTAGACTCAAGACGGTGAGTTTGGCAGCTGAATTCAAGGTTTGACACTCTCTCCGAGCAGGATATAACAGTAAAACCGATTGAATAAATATTCCAAGCCCTGCTGGTTGGCTCTCGATATCATAATTACTGTGAGAAACTAATCATTACCTGAAGTTTTTACTTTTGAAATTCTTTTCCAAGAAAGAGAACTCTCCAGAAAAATATGAAGCAAGCTCTCTGTGCAAAAGTAGCTGTCCTCCAATACCTCTAAAGAAATACTGGAGCTGAGTAGGAAGGTTTAAAGAGTTAATTGATGTTTTCTTAAATATGGCAATTTAGAGACTTTAGACTCCTATTTGCAAACTTTCAGTTTTATAGCCTCACTCTTTCTTGTAAGAGAGGCATGGGCTAAGCTTCATACTTATTGATTATGCTAATAACATTGAGGCTCAGTATGGTTGAAGAGACAAAGAATTCCTAATTAAAATCTTTCCAACATTTAGTATTGGCGGCTACCAGATTTTCAAATAGGATGAGAATATAACTCCTCTTTCTAGAGGTATCTCTTGACTTCATATAAATATTTGAGGATCTTGTTGTGCATATGCCTGCACTTCTGATAATTTATGCCAGAGATTTGGCACTTGGGAAATTATGCAAGCTGGAGGTGAATGACCGTTATCTACATTATTAACTGGCATCTTGTTCGAACTTTGCAACGAATGTAATTAAAAACAATTGCTTTCGACACTTAATTTCTTTACTGTAATCAGAGAGTTTCGTGAGCACTGAAAGGCAAGTTGAGCAATTAGTTTCAGATCCAAATTTTAGTTCTAATGTTATCAAAGTTTGGCTGATTTTTATAAACCTTATTTTGGCAACAGAAATTATGAAGAATTTAATAAACATTTAGATATGCTCATTTTAATACCAATGAAGATCCCCATTGCGACAGGAGGGTAGTCTAGGCACTAACGATCAGTATAGCTTTTTGGCAACACGAATCTTTATGAACGCTCAAAGCTAGGGTTAGTTCTAAAGTTTGTAGTTTCAGCCAACTTTGGTATTTAACATAAAACACCAAAATGAGGGTCAGGGAATGGCTGACCTGAAGTTAGGAAATACCTCTCTGAGTGCTTTCAACTGTTTCGAAGTTGCAAACAAATTCGTGGCTGATGAACTCCATTCCAGTGCCAAAATAAACTCAAGATATAACTGAGAACAACAGATATTCAAAAATTGGTTATCCTTACTGGAAGTGGTCTGATAAAGTCTATGAAACAGCTAAATTATAATTTAAGTTTTAATAAAAATGACATCATCGCTGCTTCTCTTGAACATATGAAGCATTTTAGATATAACTAAAGCAGTGGCTAGTTTCGTTCGAAGGCTCATTAGAAATCAATATCTCCTTGCTAAGTCCTCCTCGATCAATATTAGTTTTCACAGCGTGTTGAAGCTGGTCTGTTTTATAGATCGCCAAGCAAAAATTTAGAGCAAATCAGTTTAAAAGAAGTATTTACTGGACTAATTCAATAATAAGAGTAAAGAAAGTTCTCTATAAAGGAGGGATCAAATGTCGAGCAAAGGCAATTTTCTTAATCTTGGCTACCATTACCCGTCAGTGAAAATTAAATTTCTAATCCTAAACTCTGCCCAGAGCAATGTTTGTCTCTCTTCTCAACTTATAGCTCCAAAATATCTAAAAGGGTGGCTAATAAAGAATTATCTAGGATTCCAAGCTAGCATCACTGATTATAATATGTGTTCATGAACTTATCCTACCTTAGGTTATTAAACTTTAAAGATGACCATTTTTGACAATTATTTTTTCAAACTCATACTATTTAAGAGACCTTCTTTTTGCATCGAAGAGGACCCATTCCAAGAATATAGAGTTATTACCTGAATAATTTTAATGTTTCGAAATCATTTACATTATGCAAAACTTTAAGTTAGAATCGATATGCCTCTTTTCAGGACTTTCAGTTTATGAGCGAGAAAATCTAGTTAGGGGCTTTTCAAAATTAGATGAAACTATTTGTGCTTAAAGAACTGTAATGAGTGGCTCCAAAGGAAAAATTGACTGCCATTTATTACAAATTTGGGTAACTATAAAAGGGCTAGTTATACACTGTTTTCTTAGAGTTTTGTATTAAAATAACTTATCTAACAAAATGGAGGCTAAAATTCTTATCTCAGAGAATTCAGGACCTGAATTTTACATCTCTGGTGAAACCTTACAGGATCAAGCATTCACTTCTCTTGATCCATTGAACGAAATTACCCATCTTTAAAAATGTTGTAATAAAATAGAGTTATCAATTGGCATGAGACCACTTGGGGTTTTGGGGTTTTGGGGTTTTGGGG